ATGAGATGCTATGAAGACCAAACGAGATATAAAGTAAAACACCAAGTAGGAGTTCCAGACACAGAGTAGGTCTTCAATACATTCTGATTACTAATCTCCACCTCCTTCATATCAAGTGCTTCCAGAACATAACTAGCTGCCTCAAAGCTCTCCAAGCACAGCTTTACCCGATGTGCTTTCACACACACACACACACACACACACACACACTACGCCTTCTGCTTCACATTGGTGGTGGTTATCACAGCCTGGGCCCATCCTCATTCCTATAAAGTAAAAACCGATCTTCACTTAAGAAATTGCCCCCCTTGCCTCACGTGGCAAACTGGGAGTACGCCCCTAGGTCTGCAAGGCAGCCCCAACACCCTGCCTGGGACCGCTGTGGACCGGGACAGAACGCCTCTCAGAGCCACGTCAAGCAGGTGCACGTATACCGATGTCACAGGGAAAGACAATGCCATTCTTCTAGGAATATGCGCAAAACAGAGTAGGTCAACATGGACCATCTGCTGAACTGTACACAGGTGCGGCTGTGCAAAAATAAACTCAAAGGCAGAAGATGAAATAGGCCTCTGACCACAAAATTGGTCCTTCTCGTATTAATATAATGAAAATGACGAAAAGAAAAGAAATGCTCGAATGTGGAGGCAAATCCCAGTTCAGTCCCATGTGATTAGAAATAAAGAAAAGATACTTAAAGCTGTCATAGGATGGCATTAACACCACAGCAGCAAAAGCAGATTTTACTCAAACTCAAAATGTTAATCCATTCATTCAATCAAATTAAAGTGCCTGATATGCAGGCATAGTTTATCTTTCAAATTACCAGTTCTGAAAGTCTTCAACATTTAAAATCCAAATCAGTCTCTTACCAACCAAGACACTGTAGAGTATTTCTTTCAAATACCTTTTATAATCAGCATGCTAACGTTACTGACTTGGAGTGCTGCTCCCTAAGTGCTTTATGGTTGGAGATGATTTTTCAGGCTGAATACACTTTAAGTGGAACATTTAGAGGTTAAGACTATTTTAAAATTTGAAGCATTCCAAATATTAAAAAAAAAAAAAAAAGAGAGAGAGAGATAAGGAAAGGAAGGGAGGGAGGGAGGAAAAGAAGGAGGGAAGAAAAAAAGAAGGGAAAGGAGGGAAGGAGGACTGGTAGCAATTGAACACAAAACTTTTATCAAAACCTTAAGATTCTAAAACTGAGTGAAAAATTTCCAACTAGAACCTAAGGATTCATCACAATCAGACTGTGTAACCTTAAATATGCATCTCTCCTCAGCTGTGGGAAGTCAGTGGCAGCCACCGCAAGACCCCAATAATGAAAAGGAACTAGAACGAGGAGTGATGCAAGTCACAATTCTCTACCCCCAATCAAAGGTTTCATTTGCAAAGGTTCTCATGTTTAAAGGTTCCAGGTGTAGGGAGAATTCAGCTTAGAATTCAGATAGAATGTCACCCCCACTGTAAACTGTGAAAGAGTCGCAACTGAGTTGGGAAAACCAACCAGGTGAATTGAACTCCAAAGTATGCCAAGCCACCGGAAGACAGATGGACTCATAGAAACCGAGTCACCTTTGGCAAGGCCTAAGGGAGAGACAGCAACAGGGTGAGCTTGTAAGAAGACAAAAGAGACTGGAACAGATTCCTAAAGACTTTCATTAAAGAGACTGTAGGACTTACTTTGATCATTAAAGAATGATCCTTAGGATTCTTCCTGATAACAAAATAAATTCTCTTTGAAAAAGGAAGAGTTAACATTTAGTGTGTTCAGACAACTGAATGAAAGCTCCTAACTCAGTAAGAAAGGACTGTTCATACCCTTGTGTAATAAAGGAGAAAAATGGCAGGGAGGCAGAGCTGGGGCTCAAACCCAGGCATTCCGACTACAGATCCTACACACTCTCTTCCGCAGTCCAGACATACCTTCTTCACACCATTTAAACTGTTTAAATAATGCATTTTGCTCAGTTTTCATAGTGAACAAATTACAGACATTCCCTATGAATGATCCCCTTGGAAATGTCAAGGTAGAACGCTAAGAAAGCCATGTTTAATACAGAATTCAACAAAGCCTTTTTTCCTCGCAGGTAAGACTGCCATTACTTAAGGAAAACATATAACTCTAATCCTCAAGAGAAAGGAGAAAAGAAAACATAGAACAAATTAAATTGGAAAATAACCCTTCTTAATCTTTTGTTTCCTCTGAGCTAAAGAACATTAAAAAAAAAAAAAAAAAAAAAAAAAAAAAAACTAAAAGAATCTTAAGATTCACCTCATGCTGTGATGGGGCTAAGGGAAAAAGACCCAGCCTTCCATTTCAATAGAATCTCTTTCCATATTGGATGCTCAAGAACACGACTACGCTACTGAACACGGGCACATCTTAGAGCAAAGATAATTTCCAGTCCTGTCAGCCCCCCTGTGCACTGGTCTTGTAATTGCATTCTTCCCTCTTTGCAGGATAAGCACATTCCCAGTGTACAATGTCACTTTGCATTCTATCGGAAGCTTCCAGAGAGGACCAGAAGTTACTCGCTCCAATGTCATTTTCAGATGTCAGAGAAAACTATAATTCACTTGATCTAGATCAGTGTTTTTCAACCTTTTTTGGGCAAAGGCACACTTGTTTCATGAAAAAAATCATGAGGCACACCACCATTAGAAAATGTTAAAAAATTTAACTCTGTGCCTATATTGACTATATATAAAGTAATTCTCTTGAATAGGAATCAAATAAACACAAAGAAAGTATTTTATAATTACTTTATTATGAAATATTAAGTAAACAAAATAGTGAAAAATTATAAAATTCTTGTCTTGTCTGCACCTACGGCACACCACGCAACATCTCGCAGCACACTAGTGTGCCGCGGAACAGCGGTTGAAAAACGCTGATCTAGATGACGATCTAGTAATTCTACTTGTGGAAAGATGGGACAGCTAGCTCCCTGAAGTGGGATGACAGGTGTATTGAGTAAGATTACAGGAATAAAGTTAATCAGGAAAATAAAATCATCCACAGCAGTTGCAATCACAATGCAAATCTTGAAACCAGCAGGCATCAATCTGTGCATGGGCAGTAATCTCAAATCTTCAATGGATACAATTCCTTATACTAAATAGAACCACGTGTAACAATTTAAACTGTTACTTAACACATGTAGAGAATACACATGATGAGAAGAAATGCAGAGGAAAAAAAAAAGTATTCCCATTTTAGCAAGCTAAAGCATTTCTGTTAGCAGGGCAAAGGACTAGTGAAATATCTACTCTAGAATTTGAAGACCGATTTTTAGAGTAGACAGCCTCTCTGAAGTCCTATTTAGGATCTTATGTCCACCAATTCATACATTTCAAGGTCTCCGAGGACCAGAAATGCTCCCTAGCTCTCAGGCACTTTCCAGCACAAGCCTATTTTTCATCTTTCCATGCAGGATCATCCCATCCGTCAGACCTTCCTGTCTAGAAGGGCTGAATCTAAAATGGCCTCTCCCTACTACTTGGTATGTCAAAACAATGCTTAATTCTCATCACGGCATTTTAAAGTGTTTTCTTGTTTATTCTTTCTCCGCCTTTAGCTTATAAATTCCATCTTGTTCACTTTTCTGAAGGAGGCTATCATTTTTTTGTTAACACTTTTTTTCTCTCTAATGACTTGCAGTTTTAAGGGAAAGGATGTAGATTTCAAGCTTAAGGCAACTGCTTTCTCCTTGAGCCAAAGTAGCATAAAGGTAAGTTTGTATAAAAAAAAAAATCCAGAATACTTCATTTAAAACCATTTCCCATAAAACCATAGTTTAATGAATTCTGAGCATGCGGCCTGGTTATTCTCAGCCCAGTTTCCAATCCAAATCCATGTGCTGTGCGAACAGATCCCTGGTTTACACGGTGGCTCCTGCTTTCCAGATCAAACTCAAGGTTCGGGCATACACTTCCCTGTCAAGCTGAGCCTCAAGCCTGAAACAGAACCCACACCTGGGCCAGGGAGGCTGAATCCCGGCACCAAGTGAGTCACCGAGTCCCACCGCACAGGATGTATGTAGTGCTGGTGATGACGCTGGCCTGCTGGCTTGGCAACTCAGTAGATGCTCTCCCTTCCTGTTGGGGTTGCAACCGATTCCCCCCCCTCTCTCCCATTGCTTCCCGGGGTCACGGTCACAGGGGAGCTTGCACGACGGCTTTCGCACGGTCACGCCACCTGGAACAGGGCACGCTCCCTCCTCTCACCGCCTCCACACTCTGCTCGGGGGACACAGGCTGCAAGTCTGGTCGCATCCCCTTCAGGCGGCGGTGCACCCAGAGGCAGCAGGTGGGGCGGAGGCCACAGCACGGCTCTGCTGCTGCTGCTGCTGCTGCTGGCGGCCCTGGCCTCGCATACAGACTACAAAGCCCTTTGCAAGCCGCGTCACCGCACCTGCTCCGGGGCTGCAGCTGAGCCTGGTCCAGGCTGCCAGGGGATGGGAACCGGCGCGTCCCGCCCGCGGCGGCCTCTGCTCCCCTAACTAACCCTAACCCACCGCCTGTCCTTCATCGGACCGGCGCCCGGGCGGCGAGCGCAGCGCGGACGGGATCTGTCCGCAGACCCGGTCCTAAGGGCCCCGCTCCGGGGGCGGACAGCAGGTGCGACGCCCGGGCTGCGGCCCCGCACCTGGCCGGCGGGCCGGCCGCGCCTCCGCCTCCGCCCGCGCCCGGCCCCCCACCCCGGGCTCCCCCGCGGGCTCACCGTCCGATCGCGCCAGACGGACAGCGTCTGGAAGGCCCGGGGCACCCCGCCTCCGCCGTCCAGCGTCGGGGACCCAGGCTCCGGGGGACGGCGGCGGCGGTCACCGAAGGCCTGCGGGCTCCCCGGAAAGGAAAGCCCGATCCCCCGCTTCAGGCGGCTGACATGTCCAAGTCATCGGAGCGCCGCCCGCTTCCGCCTCCCCGCCTCCCTCCCCGCCTCCCCGGGGGGGCGTGGCCCGCCCGCCCGCGTCCGCGCGGGCTTGTGGGTACCTCGAGGGCCGGAAGTGGCGGCGCGCTCCTCGCCGGGCGCCGAGGCGGGGCGGGAACTACAACTCCCAGCAGGCAGCGGGGCCGCGGACGGCGGCCGCCCAGCGGCAGCTGGCGCGCCCCGCGCGCGCGGCGGGGATGGAACGTTGCTAGAGTTGGCGGGTCGCGCTCCAGGCGGCAGCAGCCTCACGCCTCGGCCCGCTGCGCCTCCGACGCGGGAACCCGGCAGGCGGGCAAAGGCTGCCATCCGTGCACACGTTTTAAAGCCCGGAATCCGCGGACCCAGCCATGCACCGGTAAGCCGACTACAAAGATGGGGCAAGCTTGAATGGACCGTTTTAATTCATTTAGGCCACGCGTATTGCTGCTTGCTAAGGTTGTCGCGAGTGCTGTAATGGGAATGGCTTCCCAGCCCCTTCTTGGGGAAAAGCGTGGATGGAGGGATGGATGGATGGGTGGGTGGGCGAGTGGATGGATGCTTGCTTTAGTGAGGGGATCCGTGTGTGGTTTTATTTGTCTTTCTGTATTTGGGCTTTCCTGCTCATAATTTGAATGGCTGTATGGTTTCCCTCCACTTTGAGAAACTCTTGAAGGCCTTTTGCATGATCAGAATCGTGAATCAGAAAGCCTTTTTGATTTGCTCAGGTTTTTTGGGTTTTTTTTTCCCTCTCTCATTCTTGGGAACTCGCCGCTGGCATGTGAAAAATGCAGTTCTGTGAGCTGCATGACTACATTGCACAAGTTGCGTTTCCTTTAGGCCTACCGATTATTGATGGGCGTGTTCTCAAAGGAAAGGGGCTATTGTGCTTTTTTTTTTTTTTTTTTTTTTTGCAGGAAACACCTCCAGGAGATCCCTGACCAGTCGAGCAACGTGGCCACCAACTTCACTTGGGGATGGGATTCTAGCAAGACCTCGGAGCTGCTGTCAGGCATGGGGGTCTCCTCGCTGGAGAAGGAGCGCGCGGACAGCGAGAACATCCCCCAGGAACTGCTCTCCAACCTGGGCCACCCGCAGGGCTCCCCCAGGAAGCGGCTGCGGAGTAAAGGGAATGACAAGGACTTTGTGATCATCCGCAGGCCCAAGCTGAATCGAGAGAACTTTCCAGGTAAGGCGGGAGGGTGTGTCAGTCATGGAAGGGCTGAGGTGAGCTGTTTTGCTGGTGAACCTTTGTTCTGGGGTCTTTAGAATGGGGCCCTTTTAAAAACACCTAATTCTGAGGTTATTTTCCAAAGAGAATAACTCATTGTCAATGAAGTGTATGAGAATCTTGGCAGGTATAGATCTCCTGGTGCTCGATTGATTTTTAACCATGGGAAAGTTTAACCCATGAGAAGACATCCCTATTTTTTTTCTCTAGGAAGTGGTCTGACTGCTCCAGGGCCAGCTCAGTGCCACTGATAAATGGGAACAAACACGATGATCTTATTGTCAGACTCTTTTTTTTTTTTTTAATTGTATTCTGCTGTTTTCTGCCCCTGGTTGAGCTCTCCGCCATAATCACATTAGTGATTTCTCCAAGGATTGCTAAAGTGGATGTTAAACTAAGTGGTGGAGACTTAACCAGGCCCACTCCCAAATGGGCTTTTTGTCTCGTGGTCTGTCTCCATTATGAATTACAATTCAGTCACGCAGCCCGAAGACCCAAAGGCCAGTCCCATTCCCGCCATCCCCTAGCCAATGACTGACTCTTTCCTTCCTGTCTCCTAAGTGTTTCTCAAGCTCTCATCCTCTCTCCACTGAATACTGGAATGGCCTCATTATTCCAGCCTTTTCCGCCCCAGATCCATCCCCAGAGCTAGGCTGGCCTGACTGAAATGTAGAACTACCCTCTTCCTAGCTTCCCACTCGTGGGTGACTGAGAGCCTCCCACGGCGGATCAGAGCCGATCCATAGCGCACTGGCCCGGGTGATCCGGTTTTCCTGCTCGTAAATCATCCCAGACCTTAATGCAGCAGTGTTGGCTGAGCACATACTCTGTGCAGGGCCTAGGTGCTGGGGAAGCAGCAATGAACAAAATGTAAATATTCCTATGCTCCTGGAGCTTCTGTTCTAGAGAAAGGGCACAAAGGACATAATAAATAGGAGATGTTGTGTGTTTGTAATAAGGGCTGTGGCTGAAAACAAACAAACAAATAAAACACCAACTTTGAACAAGCCAAGAGGGAGTGGAAACCCTGGGGAAGGGAGGCGGATGACAGTTTTAAACAGGGTATTTATTGATGGGAAGCCTCACGTGGACAGCGAGCCGTAAGCTGAGGCAGAGAGGAGGGAAGGGAGTGTGCCGGGCAGATATCTTGGAGGAGAAAGCCCTAAGCAGAGTGAGCAACCGGCGCAAAGACCCTGGGGCAGAAGCGTGTCATGTTTGTTGAAGGAACAGCAAGAAAGCCGTGTTCTAAGTGTGGGATGAGCCAAGGAGAAAGTAGAGGGACATCAGACTAGAGGGCCTGGCTTGTTTTGCTTTTGGATCCTTTCTTTAGGGAAGAGAATCGTGAAATTATGGCCTGGGAATCCATAGTAGGAGCTGAGTTAGAAAGGCAGTCAGAGGTTATGGCGGATCAGACAAGTCTGGGTTTCAATCTGTCTTGCTGTTCTCAGCCTTAGGGAGTTATTGGGGCTGTTGGTTTCCTTGGGAAATGGAGAAATGATGCCCACTTCCTAGGTCGCTGTGAAGGTCAAGTGAAACAATGCCCGTGGCACTGTTGGCAGCCACTCGGTAAGTGAGCCGAGTGGATTTGGCTGCATCCGCGCAGAAAGCTGCCTCGCTTCTTTTGTCCTTAAGGCTGTTGGTCTGGCCCTGCGCGTGTAGGGCTCTTTCCCTGCAGAATTGAATGGCACTGCGTGGCACACCGCACTAGCAAGTTGGTGCTTGACCACCCGAATGTGGAGAGAGAGAGAGAGAGAGAGAGAGAGAGAGAGAGAGAGAGAGAGAGAGAGGGAGAGGGAGAGAGGGAGAAACATCAATGATAGGAATCATGGATCGGCTGCCTCCTGCACGCCCCCTACTGGGGATCAAGTCCGAAACCCAGGCATGTGCCCTTGACCGGAATGGAACCTGGAACCCTTCAGTCCACAGGATCACGCTCTATCCACTGAGCCACACCAGCCAGGGCTAACAGACTTCTTGTTTCTCAGCGAGGCACTCTGGAGGCTGGACAGGGTGAAAGGGCGGGTGCTGTCTGGTAGGCAACTGCAAGTCAAGTTGAGGAGCAGAGACAGTACACGAGAAGAGGAGCTCACAGCAGGAGGCGGGAGCCAGCCACGCGGTGTGTAGGAGGCCAGAGGAGGGCTGGATGGTTCCATGGGACTTCAGACAGATAGGTCTGAAGGGAGGAGAGGGGCAGAGGGGAGGGAAGCAGGAGGACCCACTCCCCTTTGGATCTGCACGCAGCACAGACCGGTTCGTTGGTGTGGGGCGGTGAGGTCACTGCCGTGGGATGAGGGGCAGCTGGCGAGGAGGGTCCCGGAGCCTGGGCCTCCCGCGCCCCGAGTCCTCATTCCGGGGAGTTTTGCGTGCAGTTGTCAGGACAGGTGGCTGGCGGCTCTGCCAGGATTAGGGTGCAGCGGCCGCACCTGCTTTCCGCGGAGATCCGATGCCAGTAGCCCTGCCTGCGAGCTTTTCCTGGTGCTGCGCTCAGCAGGCCTCCGGCCAGGCTCACATCTGGCAGCCGAAACCTCTTTATCTGTCTGCCTGGGAAGATAAAAACCGAGTGGCCAGCCTGTCCCAGGACGGCTCTCATTGGCCCTCGGGAGGAGCGTGCGGAAGGAAGGAGGAGGAAATGGGCAGCAGTGAGGTCATTAATGGGCAGAAGGAGGACAACTGCATTTCCTTTGTGGGCATTAAATGCCTCCCCCTCCTCCCTCCAAACAGGATGCAGGAAAACACAGTTGAACTAATTTGTTGATCCGCTCTCCCGCGGCGATTAAACTGCTTGAGATTCCAGACCCCACACCGGTTTCTCAGACCGGCGCCTCCCGAGTGTAGAGAACACTGATACCCCCGAGGAACTGTGTTCAAAGTGCAGAATTCCTGAGATTCTGCTCCCGGAAGCCTTGCCTTGGAGCCAGGAATCTGCCTGAACAGCCCCAGGCAAACACAGTTCCTTCAGGCATTTTTTTTAACCAATAAGAAGTATATTTTACAGGGCAATCCTAGGTGTGTACCTGAACTATTCCCCTTACTAAGGGATTTCCTATTCCGTCCTGTCACAGTTTTCATAAGCAGCGCAGGTCAGCCCTCCCTGCCCTGAGGGTCCATTGGTTGGGTGCCCTCCTGTGTTCCCAAAGTTGCGGGTTCGGTTCCGGGTCAGGGCACATGCCCAGGTTACAGGCTCAGCGGATGGAGGTTTCTCTCTCACTGCCTCTCCCTTCTTCTCTCTCGAAAATCAATAAAAAATCTATTTAAAAGCGAAAAACGGTGCTGGTCAAACTAAACTGATTTCCATGACTCACCAATGAACCTCAGCCTGCAGCTCCCAAACAGCTCTGTGAGACTCTGTAGGGGACCCTCCCGGCCCTTGCTTTGCTCTGTAGCTTCCATTCATTCATTCATTCATTCATTCATCAAAGATTTACGGAGCACCGTCCCAGAGGTGTACTGTACCTTAGTCTCCAAAGCCCCATTTCCACGGCTTGCCCATTGCCCTCCCCGCACTCCAGGGGTGAGCAGGCCTCCCACGCAAATCCAGGGCGGCGGTGTGGAGGGGATCATTGAGGATCTCTGGTTTGGTTTTGCTTTTTTTTTTTTTTTTTTTTTTTTTTTCCCCTACCTATCCGAAAAAAGCTAGCTTGATCAGTGTTTTCTCTTTGCGACCTGTGGAAGCGGAAGGAAGACGCATCTCCGATGGCGAATCTGTTGTGTCTTCCCAGAAAGGAAGGAAGCCTGCGCTGTTACCGCTTCACACAACCTGGCCAAGCCACCCATGGATGGAGCCGCGGCTCTTAAAACACACAGAGCACAGCGGGTGTGAGCAGTCAGAGGGGCAGTTCTGAGAGGCCAAGTCTTGTGTGTGGGGAAGGTGCACCGTGTTTAACGCTGAATCGGAGGGCAGGTGATGTTCCCGGGGCGTCGGACTGAGTCACGCATCCCGCACAGATCTGACGCATAGATTAGCTGTTCTCCCCGGAGGCTGGAAGAGGCACGGCAGGGATGGGGTCAGCAGACCCAGTGGACATGGGGGTGCCCGCGGGGGTGACCGGCGGGGAGTGAGCTGGCCGCTGTCAGGGAGCTGGACACAGGCCCCGGGCTGAGGGTGGCTTCCCTTGCTGGGCGGCCCGGGGCGGCCGGGGAGAGGCCGTGCAGGGAGGACCTGCTCTGGACTTTCTCATCTGCTCGGGGCGCCCGGCCGGCAGCAGCACAGCCGGGAATCCAGGAAACAGATGGCTGCTGCCGTGAGGATTAAATATGGCAAGTGAGATTACTGATGCCTCCCCCAGGCCGGATCCCAGCCATGGGAAGACAGGCTTCCGCCCCCCCTGCTGGGACAGCAGCCAGCCCGGGGCCCTGGAATCCCTGTCACCCGTGGTCAGCGGTGGGGGCCCTGGGTGCTTGGCTGCCGGGTGTTTTCCCGGCCATTGCGCCTTCCGTCTGGTGGCTGCGTCCTTGCCGGCTCTCAGCATCACTGCTTCACGCCCTCGCCCCTCCACTTGTCCCTCCCAGCCCTGGCTGATGTCTCTTTTTTTCCATATAAATTCAGATTGAATTCTCCCCTTTCCTAAACTCGTAGAACATCTAGTACTCAGAAGAAGGAGCATATGGAAACATAGAGCATCCGAGGGCAGAAAGAGGCCTGAGCTGGAGTCAGGCCTGAGTTTAAATTCCCGCTGTGCCACCGCCGCTGTTTCTGTGCCCCTGTTCCTTCCGCCATAGTTACATCTTCTCCTGAAGCCCCTCCCCGTCCCCCAAGGCCACTCCTGTTCCGACTGGACCTCGCCTTTGTGTCCTGATGTGTCTCAGCCCCACTCTCCCCTTCACCCTTGCCCCCAAACGCCAGCAGGCAGGGCCATTGCTTTGCTGGGACCGGACTCCTGCCGGCAGTGCCCTCTGCCACCGGCCAGCCTTCCTGCAGCCACCTCTCGCTCTGAGCCTTTCCTTAGGGGCGTGGGGTT